TATTGACTGATGTTTTAGATGTCATTATCGACCTATTGCCTGATGTTTTAGATGTCATTATCAACCTATTGCCTGATGTTTTAGATGTCATTATCGACCTATTGCCTGATGTTTTAGATGTCATTATCGACTTATTGACTGATGTTTTAGATGTCATTATCGAACTATTGCCTGATGTTTTAGATGTCATTATCGACCTATTGCCTGATGTTTTAGATGTCATATCGACCTATTGTCTGATGTTTTAGATGTCATTATCGACCCATTGCCTGATGTTTTAGATGTCATTATCGACCTATTGTCTGATGTTTTAGATATCATTATCGAGCTATTGCCTGATGTTTTAGATGTCATTATCGACCTATTGTCTGTTGTTTTAGATTCCATTATCGACCTATTGTCTGATGTTTTAGATGTCATTATCGACCTATTGTCTGATGTTTTAGATGTCATTATCGACCTATTGCCTGATGTTTTAGATGTCATTATCGACCTATTGCATGATGTTTTAGATGTCATTATCGACCTATTGCCTGATGTTTTAGATGTCATTATCGACCTATTGCCTGATGTTTTAGATCTCATTATCGACCTATTGCCTGATGTTTTAGATGTCATTATCGACCTATTGCCTGATGTTTTAGATGTCATTATCGAACTATTGCCTGATGTTTTAGATGTCATTATCGACCTATTGCCTGATGTTTTAGATGTCATATCGACCTATTGTCTGATGTTTTAGATGTCATTATCGAACTATTGCCTGATGTTTCAGATGTCATTATCGACCTATTGTCTGATGTTTTAGATATCATTATCGAGCTATTGCCTGATGTTTTAGATGTCATTATCGACCTATTGCCTGATGTTTTAGATGTCATTATCGACCTATTGTCTGATGTTTTAGATGTCATTATCGACCTATTGTCTGATGTTTTAGATGTCATTATCGACCTATTGTCTGATGTTTTAGATGTCATTATCGACCTATTGCCTGATGTTTAGAATAGGAGCCAAATACCTTCTTGAAATCCAGCACATTTAAAATATGTCACACACATCTTTCATCGCGTAAACTCTGTATCATCCCAACATTGGCTTTAGACTGGAACAGTATTTAAAGTAACATAAACAGCAACCTTAACAAAACAGCCATACAAAATGCAACAGCCGTAACAACAAGAAAAAAAAACCAGCGAGATAGATTACAATTGCAATACCAACAGCATTAATTTAAAGTTACGTCACGTAACTTAACGAACCTCCCCCACAGCCCCACTTCCTCCACACACACACAAAAAAAAAAACATCAGCACAGTTGTTATCTAATTTGCTCAATAGACTTGGTATGTTATTCAATCAGTTAAAAAACAAACAAACAAACATTTCTTTTGTTTATCATTTCCGTTAATAAATAGAGACTTGACTTTTTGTTAGTGCCACTAGCCTTACAATAACCATACACTAACCATTCAAAAACCATACAATAAATATTCAATAGCCAACCATACAATAACCATATATAACCATACAATAACCATAAAATAACCATACGATAAACATACAATAACCATACAATACAAGCTCATTTATACTTATTTTTCATTTAGCCCGTACGACTAGATCAGGGGTTCTTAAACTTTTCGAAGCGTCGCTACCCCTACCTCGATTTCAAACCTATTATTTTAAAAGTCTGGCACATGCACAGCATTGTTTTGGAACGCCTCCATCTTCATCAATTCAGTAAAAAAAATTAAATGTTGCAAAAATAAAATATATTTATTTCCATTCATCGAGTACCATCGAACTTTCCCCACCCACCCCATTTCAACGACCACCCCACTTTACTCACCCACCCCATATCACCTTCGACCCCCACCTTCCCGCACCCATTCTTTGCCAACAAAGCCAAAGGGTCACCAAGAGCAGTTCCAAGTGGCAACATTGTTCTTGGTGTTCCTTTTAAACGAAGTGCTTTGTCTTGTTTTCAAAAGCTGATGTTTTTGTTTTTTTTAAATAGAGTTTCTCGAATCTTTCTGACTTCTGTCACTATTTTTAAGGCTGAGCCGGGTGCTGAACACCCAGATACCCGGAAATGCCAAGTATTAGATACCCGAAGCATATCAGGACCCGGTCACTGGAACATAACTGGGTGTTTAAAAAATATTTTTAGTTATTTTTTTATGACATTTTCTTTAAAAAAAACATTTGACTTGAATCAAATAAATAATCCTATGAAACTGACCCGGGGAGTGGTGCCAAAATCAATGGGAACTCAATAAAACAGTAGAGCTGTCAAAATAACTTTGGTTACCGGAAATTACCATCGATCAATTTACCGTAGACGAATTTTCTTTCGATCAAATTTCCGGCTACGAATAAGTTTGTGTGATTTTTTGTTGTTTCAGCAAGATGCGTATCTCTTGTTAAGACAATTAAACTTCCTATTTACAATTGGCATTTCCCTTTCACATACTGACTGGTGATACTGACTGGTGATACTGACTGGTGATACTGACTAGTGATACTGACTAGTGATACTGACTGGTGATACTGACTAGTGATACTGACTAGTGATACTGACTAGTGATACTGACTAGTGATACTGACTAGTGATACTGACTAGTGATACTGACTAGTGATACTGACTAGTGATACTGACTAGTGATACTGACTAAGCTCTTTAGTTTCGAGTCGGAAGTTGGGAAAACAATTTTTGTGAACTAGTTTTTTTCTCCACATTTTTACTCGATCTATTATCAGATTATTTCATTATCTAAACTTACTGGTCAAGTAGACTTCTCATTAGCCTGGAAAGCCATGCTGAACTTTGAACTTTCGTAATTTCTTAACACCTAAAGAAAATAAAAGTTATCTGAAGCAATTGGAAATGAAAGCACGGGGCCGAGATAATGTAAAGCTCATGTAGGCAAACATAAATTTGGGGCCCTCAAATATCCGAGAAACACTGCAGCCGCAGGGGCTGTTTGGCCCATGTACAGAAGTTGTTAGGACAACGTACAGAAGTTGTTAGGACCACGTACAGAAGTTGTTTGGCCCATGTACAGAAGTTGTTAGGACCACGTACAGAAGTTGTTTGGCCCACGCTATAGCCCGTGTAAAGACATCAATATCAATAAAGAGTTGTTAATCCATCAAGAAACTTGATGACCATTTTGGTATGAGCTGTTGAAAATACTTTTCATCTAATACTCTAATACAACCATTACCTTTTATTCTTTTTACCTTCCAGTATTCCGCAAATTTTATATTTTTTACACTTATTGCACCATACTCCCCCCCCCCCCCCAACCCCCGAGAGGCAATGAAAAATAATAACTATGCTGGTAAAAAAAGATAAATTATGACAAAGAAAAACGTAGCTCAAATTTAATAGCATTTTCCCCTATGCATTCCCAGCCAGCCAGCCCAACGTATCGCCAATATCACATTCAATAAATCAAGCCAGCCTTCCGTTGGCTCCCAGAGCAGTTCATGTGTCATTCAGAGCTGACTGACTCCTGGCCATATTGGGAGACACAATTCCTTGAGTTGATCATCTTCACACTTTAAGCGGCACGCTTACGGTTCGTTGGACGCCACGTCATTAGCTACATCAGCTGGAGTGCAGCGAGACGGGGCGAGTTGGGGGGGGGAATGTATAGATTAAAAAAATGTGTGTGTGTGTGGGGGGGGGGGGGCGGTATGTTTACAAAACTCGCCTGGACATATGCGCTCTGGTTTTTAGTTTCAATTAATTTTTTTTTGAAAGATGGGGGGGGGGGGGGGGGGGGGTGGGAGGTGTAGGTCTGTGGTCAGTTTTGGAATAGTAGGTCTTTGGTCAATGTTTTGATGGGAGGTTTTTGGTCAATGTTGGGATGGGAGGTCTTTGCCAATGTTGGGATGTGAGATCTTTGGTCAATGTTGGAATGGGAGGTATTTGTCAATGTTTTGATGGGAGGTCTTTGGTCAATGTTGGGATGTGAGATCTTTGGTCAATGTTGGGATGTGAGGTAGTTGGTCAATTTTGGAAAGGGAGGTCTTTGTCAATGTTTTAATGGGAGGTCTTTGGTTAATGTTGGGATGTAAGATCTTTGGTCAATGTTGGGATGTGAGGTATTTGGTCAATGTTGGGATGGGAGGTCTTTGGTCAATGTTGGGATGTGAGATCTTTGGTCAATGTTGGGATGTGAGGTATTTGGTCAATGTTGGGATGGGAGGTCTTTGTCGATGTTTTGATCGGAGGTCTTTGGTCAATGTTGGGATGTGAGGTATTTGGTCAATGTTGGGTTGGGACGTCTTTGGTCAATGTTGGGATGTGAGATCTTTGGTCATGTTGGGATGTGAGGTATTTGGTCAATGTTGGGATGGGAGGTCTTTGTCGATGTTTTGATCGGAGGTCTTTGGTCAATGTTGGGATGTGAGGTATTTGGTCAATGTTGGGATGGGAGGTCTTTGTCAATGTTTTGATGGGAGGTCTTTGGTCAATGTTGGGATGGGAGGTATTTGGTCAATGTAAGGATAGTAGGTCTTTGGTCAATTTTGGTGGGGTGGGAGGTCTTTGGTCAATATTTTTATGCAAGGACTTGGGTCTATGTTTTGATTGGGCGTCTTTGGTCAATGTTTTAATGGGAGGTCTTTTGTCAATGTAGGGATGTATTAAAGAGAACAAAAAGTCATTATCTGTATGTGTCAGAGAGAGAGAGAGATAGGGTGAAAGAGAGATTGTACATGTATGTTTGTATGTGCTTGTGTGTGAGAGATTTTTTGTATGTGTTAGAGAAAGAGAGAGAGAGAGAGAGAGAGAGAAATAGAAAGAGAGAGACAGTGAGAGTAAAAGTGGTTGGCTGTAACACTAAGTGATGCAGACACAACTTGTAGGACACACAAGCAAGCTTAGCAAATGCTCGTCTCACTCATTCAATCACTAAATCATTCCAGACATAGAACGACGTGAACAATCCACTGCTGTGGCTCCAACTGCCAATCATTTAATACAAAGTTATTTAACTTGTCTGGAACAAAAACAGTACATGTTTTACATTCATTGTTCACGGTGGAACGTGTGGGTTCATCTCACACTTCATTGCACGTGTGCATTTATTTGAAGGCGGGAAAAATTTCTCATCGAAAAAGGGTGAGGGGGACAAAAACGCGGGCCTGCACAACATACGGCCCGCGGGCCACTTGCGGCCCGCTAGCACCCACTTTGCTTTCACGTGTTTTATTAGTTTCTGACGTATTCGGTCTTGCACGGCAGTATGAAGTATCTGACACATCTCCACTTTGTTTCACGTATTTTATTAGTTTCTGCTGTATTCGGTCTTGCACGGCAGTATGAAGTATCTGACACATCACCACTTGGTTTCACGTATTTTATTAGTTTCTGCTGTATTCGGTCTTGCACGGCAGGGTGAACTATCACGGCAGTGAAGAAACTGAAAGCAGCAAATGTATTCGGATATTCAGTCACTGATTATTTTTATGAAAGAATGCTCTGACAATGATAACAGTATTTGTAGGGCTACGAGACACCCAATCGATGAATCCCAGAGGGATGCCATTCACAAAGAATGACGTCATTTAATCATAATTTCTACTCTTAACTTAGATTTAAAAACACAAATTTTTGGTTTGAACTGTTAAGATTTTTATTTACAAAATCAACACATTGCTGTGTTAAGGTCATCAAAACTACCACTTTTGATTTTTTAAAAGTTATTAGTGACGAAATCCCGAGCACACAAATACTCTATTGACCAAAGTATATCTTGGAATTCTATTGACCACTAAAAAAGAACAGCATAGTTTGTTTGCTTTCATTGCAGCCTCCATGTTTGTTCCTGTGTGATACTTTGACGTATCAGTGTGTGATACTAAGATGGTTGCTGACCGGAGCAATGACCATGCTTATAACTTTGCCAGACGTATCAGTATGTGGGTGGGTCGCATTTATGTGGGTCGTATTTGTGTGAGTCGTATTTGTTGATTATATAAATTTGACTTTTCGAACCGGTTTCAATATCCAACAAAAATAAATATCAAATACTTCTGCCTGACGTGTTCCATCACCTTTAATTAAATATTTTTTTGCGACATCCCGTTCTTTTTCGTCCCACCCTTTAGGACATATATGGCGAAATTTACTTTTCACACAGCCAACATTTATCTTTCATTTGCTCAGAGACTACTGGGCAAAGCTAATAAATGGTGACAACAGGGTCAAAGTTCCTGGACTCAATATCGCGATACTGCCTTGACCATAGTCCATAGTCCATGTCCATAGTTTAAACTAAAACTGCCATTGTTAAGACGTTAATATTTATTCATTGACCTGATGTCCATCTATTTGTTGCCATCAAAGAGATGTCCATGTTCAAAAGTCGCCTTAGAAGATGTCCATGTTAAAATGTCGCCTTAGAAGATTTCCATGTTAAAATGTCGCCTTAGAAGATTTCCATGTTAAAATGTCGCCTTAGAAGTTGTACATATTAAAATTTCGCCTGAGACGATGTCCATGTTTAAATGTCGCCTTAGGAGCTGTCATTGTTTAAATGTCTTAGAAGATGTCCATGTTCAAATGTTGGTTTAGATGTCCATGTTCAAATGTCACCTTAGGAGATTTCATTGTTTAAATGTCGTCTTAGAAGATGTCCATGTTCAAATGTCGCCTTAGAAGAGGTCTGTGTTAAAATGTCGCCTTAGATGTCCATGTTCAAAATGTCACCTTAGGAGATGTCATTGTTTAAAAGTTGCCTTAGAAGATGCCCCCGTATAAATGTCGCCTTAATACATGTCAATATTTAAATTTCACCTTAGAAGATGGCTATGTTCAAATGTTGCTTTAGATGTCCATGTTCAAATGTCACCTTAGGAGATTTCATTGTTTAAATGTCGTCTTAGAAGATGTCCATGTTCAAATGTCGCCTTAGAAGAGGTATGTGTTAAAATGTCGCCTTAGATGTCCATGTTCAAAATGTCACCTTAGGAGATGTCATTGTTTAAAAGTTGCCTTAGAAGATGTCCCCGTATAAATGTCGCCTCAATACATGTCAATGTTTAAATGTCGCCTCAATACATGTCAATGTTTAAATGTCGCCTTAGAAGAAGTCCATGTTCAAATGTCGCCTTAGAAGAAGTCCATGTTCAAATGTCGCCTTAGAAGATGTCCATGTTCAAATGTCGCCTTAGAAGATGTCCATGTTCAAATGTCGCCTTAGAAGATGTCCATGTTCAAATGTCGCCTTAGAAGATGTCCATGTTCAAATGTCGCCTTAGAAGATGTCCATGTTCAAATGTCGCCTTAGAAGATGTCCATGTTCAAATGTCGCCTTAGAAGATGTCCATGTTCAAATGTCGACTTAGAAGATGTCCATGTTCAAATGTCGCCTTAGAAGATGTCCATTTTTCAAATGTCGCCTTAGAAGATGTCCATGTTCAAATATCGCCTTAGAAGATGTCCATGTTCAAATGTCGACTTAGAAGATGCCCATGTTTACACGATGCCATCGATCTAGTAAAACTATTTATTTCCTGAAGGTTTTTATAATTGTTGAAACATTTGGTTATCGGAACAGTTTCTATCCACGCTTTTCCTTGTGGAGATCTGATGCTCTGGAGATGGTTCCTCGGAAATAAGGTCACGTTCGTCCAGTTCCTCCTCATCGTAGGAGATAGAGGTCAGCGTGTGGAAGGCGTGGATGGCCACTCGGTTGACCCTGTGCTCCTGCTCTTGTTTCCGGTCTGGCATGTACTTGAAGAAATTCTCCAGGGCCGCCTCTTCCTCGAGTTCTTTCTTTTCTGTCTTCAGGTAACGGACAATCATCACCATTACACCTGTAGAAATACACCAATCATTATTACATCTGTTAGAAAAACAACAATCGAGATACACTGTAGAAATTAACAATCAACGTGAAACCTACAGCAACTCAACAATAAACATTACACCTGTATAGTTACAACAGCCATACGTACGTATAGCAATACAATCATCAATATTACACCTGTAGAAATATAACATGGAGACCCCTCCAGACTTTACATCGACTTCTCGAGTAAGCCTGCTTTATTGACACCCTTCTCTGGTGGCAACTTGTTCTGGTGGCACCCTTCTCTGGTGGCAACTTGTTCTGGTGGCACCCTTCTCTGGTGGCAACTTGTTCTGGTGGCACCCTTCTCTGGTGGCAACTTGTTCTGGTGGCACCCTGCTCTGGTGGCAACTTGTTCTGGTGGCACCCTGCTCTGGTGGCAACTTGTTCTGGTGGCACCCTGCTCTGGTGGCAACTTGTTCTGGTGGCACCCTTCTCTGGTGGCAACTTGTTCTGGTGGCACCCTGTTCTGGTGGCACCCTGCTCTGGTGGCACCCCGCTCTTTTATTTAACTTAGATCACTAATAAAACCGACCCAAGAGATAAGAGAGCTCTGTCAAATTTCCATCAGCTGTCATCGCCTTGAGTGGGTGTCACCAAGGGGGTCTTCACCCCACGCATCCTCAGAGCTACGCTACCGAACCACACAGAACCCTACTTTTTTTAATGATGCTGTAGACTTCTGGAGATGAAATCTCGTAGCCCTGAGATTTTTCTTTTAGTAAGGACAAGCTGGTTACATAGAGAGCAAATTACATCGCTTCACCGATTTGAACATCCAAAGGGCTCATCTTGTGTGGATGATACAGCTTGACGCCAGTAGCGTCGCGGGAGTTGGAATTTCCAATGTGTCAATGTTGTACCGCCTACGGGACTCCGTCTCCGGGTTCGAGTTCAAAGATTTCCTTCTCTTACGATGGGTCCCATCCACCCGAGTCCCAACCACCTGAAAGATCATCATTGAACATCCATTAATTAAATAGCTTACAGATAATCTAATAAGTTATCTAGCGGGCACCTGCTGAGTAAAACACGAGAACCACCACGATGTACACCAGGGCGCCAAAATCTGACTCTTCGTCTCGCACGGGGCGCCGATGTTTGCCACCAAGGGTCACTTCACTCTGGACACTGCTGACCACTTTGACACAGTTGGGGTACAAAGAGGAGAGGAGTTTGATGGACTGGGGCGGGAGGGTGGAGAAATTCATGGCATCATGGGAACTGTGTCAGCTGACCTAGTGGAGTAAAAACTACAACGCTGCATCAGGGGAATGGTGGCGAATCAAATCAATTTTATTGATACGCTAACTGACCCAAATAGCTATATACTAACTGTCCAACATGTTATTTTAAATATACTAAATGACTTAGATATTATTATCAATTTACTAACTGACTCGCACATTATCATTGATAAACTAAGAGACCTATGTATTATTGCCCACATACTTGTACACCTACTGACCCATATACTATATTTATATACTAACTGACCCACACATTTTTATACTATTGACCCACGTATTTATATACTTTTGGACCCCCCATATTTATACACTAACGTACCCATATTATATATTAATTGGACAATATATTGATATACTTAAGGACCCACATATTTATACACTAACGGATCAATATATTTGTATACTAATTGACCTATGTACTTTAATACTTACCCATATATTAATATACTAATTGACGCCCATCAAATTACCAACGGGCCCACTTTAAATGCCTGTATACTAGCAAAAATGTATCATGTCTGAAATTAAATTAAAACAACCCTCATTCTTACAATGAGTGACATTGAATTAAACTGAATGACAGCGAATGACACTGAATGACTGTGAATGTCAGTGAATGACAGTGAATGAAAGTGAATGACAGTGAATGACAGTGAATGACAGTGAATGACAGTGAATGTCGGTGAATGACAGTGAATGACAGTGAATGACAGTGAATGACAGTGAATGACAGTGAATGACAGTGAATGACAGTGAATGACAGTGAATGACAGTGAGTGACAGTGAGTGAAAGTGAATGACAGTGAATGACAGTGAATGACAGCGAATGACAGCGAATGACAGCGAATGACAGCGAATGACAGCGAATGACAGCGAATGACAGCGAATGACAGCGAATGACAGCGAATGACAGCGAATGACAGTGAATGGTGAGATAACGTTGTATCTGGGGCTACAACTTAAATAAATAGGCCAATGTCCTATGCCATATATGGCAACGAATTGCATTTGTTTATGTGTTTTAATTTGCCAATCGGATCGCCTTCTACTTGTCTCAGCACCATCTAGCATTAATAGAAACATGCGGCTTAGTACACTTAGTTCTTACGATAAATATAATTGTCTTCCCTTTTTATTTTTTCAAATCCTTCGTATTAACTTCGCTTTTGTTTGTGTGCTGTGACAAAATCTTCGGAAGGCTAAATGACCCACTTCCCATCATCCAATCGAGCTGAAACTCGGCACACGGATTTGTTGCCGATGACGACACATTCTTTCAAATTTCCACCCCACCCCCAACGCTAAAACTATTTTTCCCCTGTTTTTCGACGGCTGCGTGCTTTGGTGTGGAGTTTAATTGTGTAGCTGTCGGTCGCTATGTGCTTTGTATTTGTGACGTATTTGGATACGCAGTAAAAGTAAAATGTATTTTAATGGCAGAATTGACGTAAAATGAAACGTGTTTTCGCCTGAATTGACCCACTTACTGAACCGCTTCTTGATGAACGATAACTCACGTACATTTACACGAATGCAAACAACAAGGCATATGAAGGATTTACAGGGAAAACATTGTTTTAAATGGGTCGTGTGATTCTACTATAGAGCTAGGCTAACAAGTAGGCAATCTTTGCACGTGTTTAAAAGGTACATTTCTCATGAGAGCTTAATGCAGAGATTTAGAGCGTGAATAGTCGCAGTACACGACTGTGTCATGACACAATCTCGATGTAACCAAGACCGAATTGTGCAATACCATAACCAATATATGGTATGTCGACCTGGGCTAAATGCTATGCATCTATGCAACTTCTTTACGTTGTGAATGTATAGGGAAGGTGGACTGATTTATCCCAAATGGCACTGAACAAAAACAAAGATACACCATATGATGTTTGAATTTGTTCAGTACTCCCCACCCCCTTGTATGTTTTTGGTTGTTAGCATCCTCCCCCCCCCCAATCCCACTACAAATTGGATCGATGCTTGCTGGTTTCTATCAATACATAATCCTGGCAGAAGATGCTACGTCCCGAATGACAGAGGAAATTGATTATTGATCACATTCGACGCTGTCGCAAATCATCGTTCGTAGAGATATCGATAAGCTGGTGCTGTGACACCTGATGACCATGACCTTTAAAAATCCCCCCTCACAGAACCCCACCATCCCCCCACACACACACAACCCCTCGGACCACCAGATGGCCTCCACCAAACGTCCCGCCCAAATTATTGACAGTGTGTCTGGGCTTTTAAAGTTGCATGAGTTTGTTCTCGCCCGGAACATATTTGACACCAGCCCTCGTGAGAGCTTCGCGTTGCAAGGAAGAAGGTCCTGGAGTAAACCCGAGGCTGGTCAATAAGGGAGCCCAGTGTCTAGGATGTTAATGAATGGATCAGATTAGAAGGACAAGAACATGACGTGTGTAGGGGGGGGGGGGGTGGGAAGGTAGCTAGTGGCCATCGCTCATGACCCGTGTATGTGGTGACAGGGGGGTAGCTCGTGGCTACTGTCCATGACCCATGTATGTGGTGACAGTGGGGTAGCTCGTAGCTACTGTCCATGACCCATGTTTGTGGTTACAGGGGGGTAGCTCGTGGCTACTGTCCATGACCCATGTATGTGGTGACAGGGGAGTAGCTCGTGGCTATTGTCCATGACCCATGTATGTGGTGACAGGGGGTAGCTCGTAGCTACTGTCCATGACCCATGTATGTGGTGACAGGGGGGTAGCTCGTAGCTACTGTCCATGACCCATGTATGTGGTGACAGGGGGGTGGCTCGTGGCTACTGTCCAGGACCCAGGTATGGGGTGTCTCTTGGCTATTGTCCATGACCCATGTATTTGGTGACGGGGGGTAGCTCGTAGCTACTGTCCATGACCCATGTATGTGGTGACAGGGGGGTAGCTCGTAGCTACTGTCCATGACACATGTATGTGGTGACAGGGGGGTAGCTCGTGGCTACTGTCCATGACCCATGTATGTGGTGACAGGGGAGTAGCTCGTGGCTACTGTCCATGACCCATGTATGTGGTGACAGGGGGTAGCTCGTGGCTACTGTCCATGACCCATGTATGTGGTGACAGGGGAGTAGCTCGTGGCTATTGTCCATGATCCATGTATGTGGTGACAGGGGGTAGCTCGTGGCTACTGTCCATGACCCATGTATATGGTGACAGGGGAGTAGCTCGTGGCTAATGTCCATGACCCATGTATGTGGTGACAGGGGGTAGCTGGGGGCTAATGTCCATGACCTTTGTATGTGGTGACAGGGATGTAAATGGAATAGACTTAGGAGGCGGAAGAGCTAGCAGAAAAGCATGGTCGTCTGGTATTACTCTTTCTTCTGAGCACTTTAATCCAATGGTTCTCAAGCCTTTGGTCGCCAAGATCTCGTGAACACTTCAGATATTTCAGATTTTTTTTTTTTGCAAGATTACAAATAAGTATAATTTATTGATAATTCAATCTCCCATACGGTGCGGGAAGGGGGTACAGAGGGGTCGGCAGGAAGGGGGTACAGAGGGGTCGGTCCTCACCGCCCACCTTCCTATTTATATCTCTCCACCCCCCACCCCCACTCCCCCCCCCCAAGTCAACTTCTCGGTTGTGGGTGTCACCAGCTTGGCGAATGTAATCAAACGGTGGCGGAACTAACACGGCTGAGAACCACTGCTCGGATCCAACACAAGAAGGGCCTGACCCATATTTTTCATCCTTCGGTTGATGCAAGATGATGGGTGATGATTAATTGAAGATGAAACCATCAACTTATGAACATCCCTATGCGAACGTCCGCTCCATTGATGAACAAACAGTCCAGCTGTTTCAGTCGCCAAATAAGTCATGGCATGGAGCACTAGTTACCTTTAGCCTTTTTAAACATTCAAAATTTAAGTTCATTTCATCTCTGATCCTAATTAAATTGATTTATGCTAACGATGCCGGGAATAACAAGGATAACAAGAACCAGATTAAGAAATGAAATTTTAAAAAAGAATAATTTTTTAATGTGCAAAAAAAATCAACCAAAAAAAAAAAAAATTAAAAAAAAATAAATCAATACTTGATTTCCAGGAGGTTAATAATTTAGGTCAATGTCTCTGATTCCTAATTAATAAAAGAACGTATGGATTATTAAAGATAATCATTGCTAACAATAACTGGCGTTTCAAAAGGCTAAAGCGTCACAAGGAAATAGTTGAACAGGGTTGTGGAAACTGGAATCGAAAGACGGGAAAATAAAAGAAGAACGTTTCGGCTAAGAGCCTTCCTCGGCAGACGGAACAAATGATACGACAAGAAATAGAAACTAGTTAAAAATGTAAATGTTCACCAGCGTTCTTGCCGGGAGCTCGATTTTCCAAAACAAATATTTCATGCATAAAAGAATTTATGTGCAGTAGCAAATATATATATATATATATATATATATAGAGAGAGAGATGGAGGGAGAGAGAGAGAGATAGAGAGAGAGAGAGAGAGAGAGAGAGAGAGAGAGAGAGAGAGAGAGAGAGAGAGAGAGAGAGATATATATATATATATATATATATATATATATATATATATATATATATATATAGAGAGAGAGAGAGAGAGAGAGAGAGAGAGAGAGAGAGAAAGAGAGATTGCTGATTCATAGGATATTTCCAATGAGGTGTTTAAATTATTTAGCATTTTTGCTATGAAGGAAGATTTATTTATTGGATACGCCTATGTATAGGTCAGTGGTCGGCAGACTTCTTAGTCAGTGGTCGGCAGACTTATTAGTCAGTGGTCGGCAGACTTATTAGTCAGTGGTCGGCAGACTTCTTAGTCAGTGGTCGGCAGACTTATTAGTCAGTGGTCGGCAGACTTATTAGTCAAAAGAGCCAAAAATCAGCTGCAGGACAATTAAGAAAAAATTGAGAGCCAAATTTCTCTCAAGAATCTGACAGGAAATATTTTTTTCGGAGTCAAAACCGATTTGTGCCCGACTGGCCGAGCCGCACTCAGGTCGCTAAAGAGCCGCATGCGGCTCGCGAGCCGCGATTTGCTGACCACCAATATAAGTGAAAGGCCCATTAAAAGAATGTGAGCAAGCGTAAGACAATACACGCTTAACCCCCATACAAGCACAATTTGTTTCATTACATGATGGAAACATCTCACTTCCTATCACCAGGCCATTGCTGGCTAGCTTCACTTTTCACTTCCTATCGTCAAGCCATGGCTGGCTAGCTTCCCATCTTACTCCTATCACCATGCCATTGCTGGCTAGCTTCACGTTTCACTTCCTATCGTCAAGCCATGGCTGGCTAGCTTCCCATCCTACTCCTATCACCAGGCCATTGCTGGCTAGCTTCACATCTCACTTCCTATCACCAGGCCATTGCTGGCTAGCTTCACGTTTCACTTCCTATCGTCAAGCCATGGCTGGCTAGCTTCCCATCTTACTCCTATCACCAGGCCATTGCTGGCTAGCTTCACTTTTCACTTCCTATCGTCAAGCCATGGCTGGCTAGCTTCCCTTCTTACTCCTATCACCAGGCCATTGCTGGCTAGCTTCACATCTCACTTCCTATCACCAGGCCATTGCTGGCTAGCTTCACATCTCACTTCCTATCACCAAGCCATTGCTGGCTAGCTTCACATCTCACTTCCTATCACAAGCCATTGCTGGCTAGCTTCACATCTCACTTCCTATCACCAAGCCATTGCTGGCTAGCTTCACATCTCATTTCCTATTGTCAAGCCACGGCTGGCTAGCTTCACGTTTCACTTCCTATCGTCAAGCTATTGCTGGCTAGCTTCACGTTTCACTTCCTATCGTCAAGCGCTTGCTGGCTAGCTTCACATCTCACTTCCTATCACCAGGCCATTGCCGGCTAGTTTCACATCTCATTTCCTATCAACAGGCCATTGCTGGCTAGCTTCACATCTCACTTCCTAACACCAGGCTATTGCTGGCTAGCTTCACATCTCACTCCTATCCCCAGGCCATTGCTGGCTAACTTCCTATCTTACTCCTATCGTCAAGCCATTGCTGGCTAGCTTCACATCTCACTTCCTATCACCAAGCCATTGCTGGCTAGCTTCACATGTAACTTCCTATTGTCAAGCCATGGCTGGCTAGCTTCCCATCTCACTCCAATCACCAGGCCATTGCTGGCTAGCTTCACGTTTCACTTCCTATCGTCAAGCCATTGCTGGCTAGCTTCACATCTCTCTTCCTATCACCAAGGCATTGCTGGCTAGCTTCACGTTTAACTTCCTATTGTCAAGCCATGGCTGGCTAGCTTCACGTTTCACTTCCTATCGTCCAGCAATTGCTGGCTAGCTTCACATCTCACTTCCTATCACTAGACCATTGCTGGCTAGCTTCACGTTTCACTTCCTATCGTCAAACCATTGCTGGCTAGCTTCACATCTCACTTCCTATCACTAGGCCATTGCTGGCTAGCTTCACGTTTCACTTCCCATCGTCAAGCCATTGCTGGCTAGCTTCACGTTTCACTTCCTATCACCAGGCCATTGCTGTCTAGCTTCTGATCTCACTTCCTATCACCAGGCCATTGCTGGCTAGCTTCACGTTTCACTTCCTATCGTCAAGCCATGGCTGGCTAGCTTCCCATCTCACTCCAATCACCAGGCCATTGCTGGCTAGCTTCACGTTTCACTTCCTATCGTCAAGCCATTGCTGGCTAGCTTCACATCTCTCTTCCTATCACCAAGGCATTGCTGGCTAGCTTCACGTTTAACTTCCTATTGTCAAGCCATGGCTGGCTAGCTTCACGTTTCACTTCCTATCGTCCAGCAATTGCTGGCTAGCTTCACATCTCACTTCCTATCACTAGACCATTGCTGGCTAGCTTCACGTTTCACTTCCTATCGTCAAGCCATGGCTGGCTAGCTTCACGTTTCACTTCCTATCACCAGGCCATTGCTGTCTAGCTTCACATCTCACTTCCTATCACCAGGCCATTGCTGGCTAGCTTCACATCTCACTTCCTATCGTCAAGCCATGGCTGGCTAGCTTCCCATCTCACTCCTATCACCAGGCCATTGCTGGCTAGCTTCACGTCTCACTTCCCATTGTCAAGCCATGGTTGGCTAGCTTCCCATCTCATTCCTATCACCAGGTCATTGCTGGCTAGCTTCACGTTTCACTTCCTATCGTCAAGCGATGGCTGGCTAGCTTCCCATCTCACTCCTATCACAAGGCCATTGCTGGCTAGTTTCACGTTTCAATTCCTATCGTCAAGCCATGGCTGGCTAGCTTCCCATCTCAATCCTATCACCAGGCCATTGCTGGCTAGCTTCACGTCTCTCTCCTATCACCAGGCCATTGCTGGCTAGCTTCACGTCCCACTTCCTATTGCTGGCTAGCTGCATGCTGACAGAGCCGAATTGAAACATTTGGATTCCACCCTTGTATGATGTGCTGTCAAAGTATAGCGCCTCTTGGGGTGGGGCGGGTAGGGTTAGAATGCCCGTACGTCATTGTGTGGTTTATATAAAGGCATTGCATGTGTGTTCGGGGCGAACAGTCAAGGTAAGACACGGCTTTTCCCTCCCCGACCCCTTCAAATATCCTTCACTTTCAGTTCGAGCCAAACTTTTGTTAAAAATCGCAAGAATCAAATATGTTTGGTCGCTTATTTTTCCAGTTGACAGACATAGAATTTTATTTTAAAAAAACTCTATTCATCCTGCTGTCGTCTAAAGGGTTTACTTTCTCGGTATCCTCCCTTTGATGATTTCAGTAATAGGGAATACATTTACTTTGTGTTGTTTCCCTTACTTTGCTCTTTTCTCCCCTTGCTTCTATAACGTGTCATGTATTGAGATGCCCATCAGAACTATACATTACGTCATTACAAGTAAGTTCAACTTAAGATCACGCCCCCCCCCCCCTTTCCTTACCCCCACCTAAAATGTAGAATCCCTGGTCACGTGGCCATTAGCCGATCATGTATTGAGATGCCCCTCAGAACTATACATTACGGCATTACAAGTAAGTTCAACTTAAGATCACGCCCCCCCCCCCCTTTCCTTACCCCCACCTAAAATGTAGAATCCCTGGTCACGTGGCCATTAGCCGCGTGCCTCATTTGTCTTTTGGTGAATCCGGCACTTCGGGAAGACCTACATGATGACCTACATGATGACCTCCATGATGACCTACATGATGACCTCCATGATGACCTACGTGATGACCTACATGATGACCTACATGATGACCTACACATTATTAAGATGAGACCGTGCTCCGTGTTTTTATTTAAATAATGGGATGATTATTGAACGGGTCAGTCACATTACCCCTACCCTCTCTTACAATTAACAAGAGTCAAAACATGTGTATAAAACATTTGACAGTTGTCATACTTATGCAAGGAAACTGATGCTGGAAGCTCTCTGCTAATTCAAGGTGTTTGCTAATGCAAATTCTACACGAATGCGCGTGCCCTGCAAATTCAAGTTCGCTGCTAGTTCAAGTTTCCTGCTAATGGAAGTTTCCTGCTAACACATATACCCTGCTAATGCGAGTTCCCTGCTAATGAAAGTACCATGATAATGCCAGGAGCCTTCTAATGAAAGAACCCAGCAAGATCTACTACCCTGCTGGTGAAAGTACCCTGCTAATGCGAGTTCCATGATAATGCAAGTGCCCTTCTAATGCAAGTACCCTGCTAATGAAAATACCCTGCTAATGCAAGTTCCCTGCTAATGAAAGTACCCTACCAATGCAAGTTTCCTGCTGCTTAAGGAAGTACACTGCTAATATAAGTTCCCTGCTAATGCAAGTACCATGCTAATGCAAGTTCCCTGCTAATGAAAGTACCCTGCTAATGAAAATACCCTGCAAAATAAAAGTTCCCTGCTAATGAATGTTCCCTGCTAATGCAAATGCCCTTCTAATGCAAGTACCCTACCAATGCAAGTACTCTACCAATGCAAGTTTACTGCTAATGGAAGTACCCTGCTAATGAAAGTATCCTGCTAATGAAAGTATCCGGCTAATGAAAGTTCCTTGCTAATGCAAGTACCTATCTAATGCAAGTTCCCTGCTAACGAAAGTACCCTACCAATTCATGTCACATTTTATATTAGTTTAAAAACAACATCACCAACACCAACACCACCACCCACAACAACATCCACACCACCACCAACACCAACACCAAGTAAAGCGTTGGTCCTGGGCCTATCTCTGGTTTCCGTTTTTTTAATAATTTTTCAACCCTCTTAATTAAAAAAACAAAAACAATCAAATAATTTATTAATTGACTTTTCTCGATCCAGAGCCATAGACCGACCCCTGAGCTCAAGATCTATTGTCTTGTATTGATCCGGGACATCCCCCCCCCCTCCCTTTTACGCCTCCCCATTTCACATCTCATCTCCGCAAGACAAAAAGGTCCGCGGCGCTTGAATACCAAACAAAGCAGGGGTTGTTTACTCAGAGAAGATAGTTCAAGAAACAGTTTTGATAATACGTCAAGATCTCATCGCAAAAAAATAGTCCCACACACAATACACAAGCAAATAGTCACATACACAATAGTCCCATATACAATCGTCCAAATAGTCACATACGTATTAGTCCCACATACAATCGTCCACATAGTCACATATACATTAGTCCCACACACAATCGTCCAAATAGTCCCATACACATTAGTCCCACATACAATCGTCCAAATAGTCACATACACATTAGTCCCAAACACAATCGTCTAAATAGTCACATACATATTAGTCCCACATACAATCGTCCAAATAGTCACATACACATTAGTCCCACGCACAATACACAAGCAAATAGTCACATACACAATAGTCCCATATACAATCGTCCAAATAGTCACATACACATTAGTCCCACATACAATCGTCCAAATAGTCACATACACATTAGTCCCACATACAATCGTCCAAATAGTCACATACACATTAGTCCCACATACAATCGTCCAAATAGTCACATACACATTAGTCACACACACAATCGTCCAAATAGTCACATACACATTAGTCCCACATACAATCGTCCAAATAGTCACATACACATTAGTCCCACACACACTCGTCCAAATAGTCAAATACACATTAGTCACACACACAATCGTCCAAATAGTCACATACACATTAGTCACACACACAATCGTCTACATAGTCCCATAGACATACACACCCTAAAAGTCACATACACAATAGACTCACAAACGATAAACCAAATCCACACACATACACAAACAAATTGTCCATTTACACTAATTAGTCCACAATACTTGCAAACATAATTGTTTTCATACCCAAGTAGTCCCCACATACATACACACAAATAGTCACATACACAAACTAATTGTCCCAACAGACAAATATTCTCACACACAATAGTTCAACACACACACACAGAACAGTCACAAACACAATCACCAACCCCCCCCCCCACACACACACAATAAAAATTGACCTACACATAGTACCCCAAGCAAAATGTATTTCACGCTGCTCTAGAACCCCTGGTAAACACATTTATTTGACAGCCATGAACAACACAGCTCCACGGTGACAATTGTCATTGACGCCCCAACAAGTGTGACATGACTCTAGTGGCGACTTTCAGTGCGTCATTTAGAACGTGGGGAGGGCGGGCATGGGGAAAAAAAGGGGGGGGGGGCAAGTGTGGGGGGGGCGGGTAATGACAAATGTACAATGGAAAAATCTATATCACTGCTGTTCCAGTTTAATCTCAGTCTGAGTGTTTTACAAATATTGTTATAGCATTACACGGAATGATCTGTTGATGCTGTCACAATCTTCCAATTGCCACAGTTGATGTGTTGGTGCTGTCACAATCTTTCTATTGCCACAGTTGATATATTGGTGTTGTCACAATATTCCAAGTCTCACAGTTGATCTGTTGGTGTTGTCACAATCTTCCAATTCTCACAGTTGATATGTTGGTGTTGTCACAATCTTCCAATTCTCACAGTTGATATGTTTGTGCTGTCACAATCTTCCTATTTTCAAAGTTGATGTGTTGGTGCTGTCACAATCTTCCAATTCTCACAGTTGATCTGTTGGTGTTATCACAATCTTCCTATTTTCAAAGTTGATGTGTTGGTGCTGTCACAATCTTCCAATTCTCACAGTTGATCTGTTGGTGCTGTCACAATCTTTCTATTGCCACAGTTGACGTGTTGGTGCTATCGCAATCTTTCTATTGCCACAGTTGATGTGTTGGTGTTGTCACAATCTTCCATTTCTCACAGTTGATGTATTGGTGCTGTCACAATCTTTCGATTTTCAAAGTTGATGTGTTGGTGCAATCACAATCTTCCTATTGCCACAGTTGATCTGTTGGTGTTGTCACACTCTTTCTATTGCCACAGTTGATGTGTTGGTGCTGTCACAATCTTTCAATTGCCACAGTTGATGTGTTGGTGTTGTCACAATCTTCCAATTCTCACAGTTGATGTGTTGGTGTTGTCACAATCTTTCAATTGCCACAGTTGATGTGTTAGTGCTAGCACAATCTTCCTATTGCCACAGTTGATCTGTTGGTGTTGTCACATTCTTCCTATTTTCAAAGTTGATGTGTTGGTGCTGTCACAATCTTTCTATTGCCACAGTTGATGTGTTGGTGCAATCACAATCTTCCTATTGCCACAGTTGATCATTTGGTGTTTCACAATCTTCATATTTTCAAAGTTGATGTGTTGGTGCTGTCATAATCTTCCAATTCTCACAGTTGATGTGTTGGTGCTATCACAATCTTCCTATTGCCACAGTTATCTGTTGGTGTTGTCCCTATCTTCCAATTCTCACAGTTGAGCTGTTGGTGTTGTCACAATCTTCCAATTCTCACAGTTGATGTGTTGGTGTTGTCACAATCTTCAAATTCTCACAGTTGATGTGTTGGTGCTATCACAATCTTCCTATTGTCACAGTTAATCTGTTGGTGTTGTCACTTTCTTCCAATTCTCACAGTTGATCTGTTGGTGTTGTCACAATCTTCCAATTCTCAAAGTTGATGCGTTGGGGCTGTCCCAATCTTACAATTTTCACAGTTGATCGCGACCCACAGGTTGAGAACCGCTGATGTAGAGGCCTTCAGAAAAAGGCCAAAAACATTCTTAATGGCGATAAAAATGATTGAAATGAAGCCGCACTATGTTGGTGTGACTTGTCCAATCACACGAAATGGTGGAATCAATAGGGGTATACTTAAATGTGAGCATCGCTAGATCAAGGGTTGCGAGTTGGCATTTCAGGGGTTGTGATTTGACATTTCAGGGGATGTGATGTGACATTTCAGAGGATACGCTCTGGCATTTCAAGGGATGTGAGGTGACATTTCAGGGGATTCGAGGTGGCATTTCAAGGGATGTGAGGTGACATTTCATGAGATGTGATGTGACATTTCAGGGATGCGATGTGACATTTCAGGGGATGCGAGGTGGCATTTCAGGGGATGCAATGTGACATTTCAGGGGATGTGAGGTGGTATTTCAGGGGATACGAGGTGGCATTTCATGAGATGTTGTGTGACATTTCAGGGATGCGATGTGACATTTCAGGGGATGCGAGCTGACATTTCAGAGGATTCGCGCTGGCATTTCAAGGGATGTGAGGTGACATTTCAGTAGATTCGAGATGGCATTTCAAGGGATGTGAGGTGACATTTCATGAGATGTGATGTGACATTTCAGGGATGCGATGTGACATTTCAGGGGATGCGAGGTGCCATTTCAGGGGATGCGAGGTGACATTTCATGAAATGTGATGTGACATTTCAGGGATGCGATGTGACATTTCAGGGGATGTTAGGTGACATTTCAGGGGATGCGAGGTGGCATTTCATGAGATGTGATGTGACATTTCAGGGATGCGATGTGACATTTCAGGGGATGCTAGGTGACATTTCAGGGGATGCGAGGTGGCATTTCAGGGGATGCGAGGTGACATTTCAGGGGACGCAATGTGACATTTCATGGGATGTGAGGTGGTATTTCTGGGGATGCGATGTGACATTTCAAGGGATACGATGTGACCTTTCAGGGGATGCGAGGTGGCATTTCAGCGGATGTGAGGTGGTATTTCTGGGGATGTGAGGTGGTATTTCTGGGGATGTGAGGTGGTATTTCTGGGGATGTGAGGTGGTATTTCTGGGGATGTGAGGTGGTATTTCTGGGGATGTGAGGTGGTATTTCTGGGGATGTGAGGTGCCATTTGACGAGGTGTGAGAATAAGTAATAATATGAACAGAAGAGCCACTGACCTTTAATTTATGAAATAATATATTAATTTATATATATATAGTAATAAAATTCTTCATTCGTGTTTTACTTTCTCTAATTAGTTACAAGTTTATTTTCTAGTTGATGCCCTTTTCTTCGTGATTATTTGCAAAAATAAGTAGGAAGATATTGTTTTTCTTTTAAATTTAAATGAATTTTTACTTTTGTGGGTGTACGTGACGTTGTCAAATCATTGGCAGGGTTGCAGAAGATAGAAAAGGTGGGGTTGAAAAGTTACAGGGCGATAGACTCCTGAAAGCCATTGGACATAAGACATTCACTGTAGAGTAGATGTACTTATGTCATAAAGTGATACAATGCAATAGCGAGGAGGGCATCCAGATAATGTCATTGCATCAAAAGAATTCATCTCACAAAAATGGACGTAGGGAACACTCACTTTAGCTTTGCAAATATCGAGGGGAGATAATCTCATTTCTGTCCCAAATTGCATCAATGCACGTGTCCGGCCAGTGTGCCGGACAAGGACATTGAACAGACGATAGGATTCCCGTTATATTTGTCAGACACACTTGCGGGGCATTGTATATGGTAAACACAATCAGGTCAAGATTAGTTGTCTGAACAGAGGTGCGTGTGTGTCTGTCGGTGTGTTTGGGTGTGTGCGTGTGTGGATTGCGTGGATCAGTGTGTGGGTATGTGTGTGTTTATTTGTTGAATGGGGCTTGCTCTCATTTTAGGCAATCCAAATACAGCAAGTTTTTTTCGAAAGGAACATGCTCATTTTCAAAACATAAAATATTGTTTAAATTGGATAAAATAATAAACCAGTACACGAGGTAAACTAACATGTCAAGGGTCAAGAGTCAAAGTTCAACATGTTTGCTTCTTCCATAACATAGACAGACTTTAAAAAAGACCCCCCCCAAAAATAAATAAATAAATAAATAAATTCTTACAAAAGAGAGAGTTAGGTGAGATTGATGACGTCATTAAATTTTACCAACTTATCCTTTCTTTCAAAGCCTTATAAATATTTTGATAAAATATGCCTCGAAGACTTGATCGACCCCAATACCCTATCACTCTTTGATCCATTATCCCTCGGTATCATATCATCCTTAATGGTCCTACTGATCTCTATGAACCTATTCCCCCCGTATACCCTATAAATCCCAAGGTCATTTCACCCTACGACCTTCTGCCCCCACCCCCATCCTGCTTCACCAGGACTCCTTTTCCTAGTGTATTGTCCCACCATGGCCCTACTGCTCTGGTACCCTGCCCCACCAGGACTCCACTGCCCTAGTACTTTGCCCCACAAGGACCCCACTGCCCTAGTACCCTGCCCCACCAGGACACCACTGCCCTAGTATCCTGTCCCACAAGGACCCCACTGCCCTAGTACCCTGTCCCACTAGGACCCTACTGCCCTAGTACCCTGTCAATCTAGGATCCCACTGCCCAAGTACGCTGTCACGCCAGGACCACACTGCCCTAGTACCCTGTAACACCAGGACCCCACTGCCCTAGTACCCTGTCACACCAGGACCCCACTGCCCTAGTACGCTGTCACGCCAGGACCACACTGCCCTAGTACCCTGTACCCCCAGGCCCACACTGCACTAGTCTGTCACGCCAGGACCCCACTGCCCTAGTACCCTGTCCCACCAGGACCCCACTGCCCTAGTACCCTGTCACACCAGGACCCCACTGCCCTAGTACGCTGTCACGCCAGGACCCCACTGCCCTAGTACCCTGTAACACCAGGACCACACTGCACTAGTATGCTGTAACATAAGGACCCCACTGCCCTAGTACCCTGTAACACCAGGACCCGACTGCCCTAGTACGCTGTCACACCAGGACCCCACTGCCCTAGTACACTGTCACGCCAGGACCACACTGCCCTAGTACCTGTCACACAAGGACCCCACTGCCCTAGAACCCTGTCCCATCAGGACCCCACTGCCCTAGAACCCTGTCCCATCAGGACCTCACTGCCCTAGTACCCAGCCCCACCAGGACCCCACTCCCTTACTACCCTGTCCCACCAGGACCACACTGCACTAGTACCCTGTAACATCAGGTCCCCACTGCCCTAGTACCCCGTAACACCAGGACCCCACTGCCCTAGTACCCTGTCACACCAGGACCCCACTGCCCTAGTACTCTGTCCCACCAGGACCCATCTGCCCTAGTACCTGTCCCACCAGGACCCCACTGCCGAAGTACCCTGTCACACCAGGACCACACTGCCTCAGTACCCTGTCACGCCAGGAACACACGCCCTAGTACCCTGTCACACCAGGACCCCACTGCCCTAGTACCCTGTCACATCAGGTCCCCACTGCCCTAGTACCCTGTAACACCAGGACCTCACTGCCCTAGTACCATGTCCCACTAGGACCCCACTGCCCTAGTACCCTGTCACACCAGGACCCCACAGCCCTAGTACCCTGTCCCACCAGGATCCCACTGTTCTAGTACCCTGTCCCACCAGGACCACACTGCCCTAGTACCCTGTCCCACCAGGACCCCACTGCCCTTCCTGTCCCACCAGGACCCCACTGCCCTAGTACCCAGTCACGCCAGGACCCCATGACCATCTCGTCCGCTGATGAAGATTAAGTTCAGTAACCTACTGAGCTTGGTAAGGTGAGCCGGCCCATGGGCTGTAACCTGAGATGACATGGTTGGTGTTAGTTGGCAACAGAACAGATACCATCACGCTGGCAATACAGCACAAAGAAAGATCAATTGGTGTTGTTAGTTGGCAACAGAACAGATACCATCACGCTGGCAATACAGCACAAAGAAAGATCAATTGGTGTTGTTAGTTGGCAACAGAACAGATACCATCACGCTGGCAATACAGCACAAAGAAAGATCAATTGGTGTTGTTAGTTGGCAACAGAACAGATACCATCACGCTGGCAATACAGCACAAAGAAAGATCAATTGGTGTTGTTAGTTGGCAACAGAACAGATACCATCACGCTGGCAATACAGCACAAAGAAAGATCAATTGGTGTTGTTAGTTGGCAACAGAACAGATACCATCACGCTGGCAATACAGCACAAAGAAAGATCAATTGGTGTTGTTGGTTGGCAACAGAACAGATACCATCACGCTGGCAATACAGCACAAAGAAAGATCAATTGGTGTTGTTAGTTGGCAACAGAACAGATACCATCACGCTGGCAATACAGCACAAAGAAAGATCAATTTGTGGCTGCGGAAGGGCGGTGTACCTTGTGGCTAGCTATCGACATTAAAAAATACTTAAGAAAAATTCTCCTTATTTTCATCATTTATTAACTAGTCCTTAATAGGGTTTCTCATTTCCAGGTTTTTCATTAATCCGAGGACAACAGGACCGAGACTTTAAGTGATTTGAACTTCATTGATTGATTAAATTTGTGTTATAAAATCAATAGAGAATCAATACAGAAAGCAACATAAAATTATTAGTAGGGAGAAGTTTAATATATTTTTGACTTGGAAGCTATATCTTACAGAAGTCCATTAATGAGATGCATGGTTTTTCTTTAAATTGAATTTTTTATTATAGCTCTGTAAATTCCATGTATATTTGAAAATTCGCAGGTAATATAGCAGGGATTATGGTTATGTCGACTGAAAATGGAGTCGAAAATAATACCCACAATTTGATAGCTTTTAAAGAAATCTCGAAACTTCTTCTCAAATTCCTGTATCGGATTGAAAGGCAAGGCTGAACATTTTTGGGTTGTGTTACTGGAGTCGTGTTTAGCCACTCTGTCGAAATGAATAAAGTGGTTTGCCTTAATTTATGTTTGCCAGACTTTCATTTTCATTCAAGACCCTGTGAAAGTTATAATTATTAAACATCAGTTGGTTTTCACCTTGAAGACAAATGTTTCGATCATTGAAATATGCGGTCAAGACTACTAAAAATGTCATATCTGTAAGCCAGTTTTCAAAGTCAGCTTCTGGCACATATTGTGTTTACATAAACGAGTTGAGTGTGAAAGATTTCGAGAATCGTTTTTCCTAAATTTTTGTGTGTACAATATTCTCCATCGTTCTCCTAGATCATCCATAAATTTAATGAAGTACTGAAATCTGAATGTCGATCCTTTGTCCCTGGTAGAACGTACAGTCTTGATGACAATCTGCCTGACGTTATTCATCTTTAATGCAATATTATGGGGTGTACTTTGTAGGGGGGATCTCATCATACGTTAACTTTGGGAGGCAGTTGCATCGAATCGTCTTCTATTTGTTTTACTAGGCCATATATTTTACATCTCATCCGCAGTAGGCATACCACTATCAGCAACTATTAACTATACCAGATATTACGACACTCTCAATAGATAGACCAGATATTGGGACACTATCAATAGATGTACCAGATATTACGACACTCTCAATAGATATACCAGATATTGGGACACTATCAATAGATATACCAGATATTGGGACACTATCAGTATAGATAGACCAAATATTGGGACACTATCAGTATAGATAGATCAGATATTGGGACACTATCAGTATAGATAGACCAGATATTGGGACACTATCAGTATATATAGACCAGATATTGGGACACTATCAGTATAGATAGACCAGATATTGGGACACTATAAGTATAGATAGACGAGCTATTTGAGACACTATCAGTATAGATAGACCAGATATTGGGACACTATCAGTATAGATAGACCAGATATTGGGACACTATCAGTATATATAGACCAGATATTGGGACACTATCAGTATAGATAGACCAGATATTGGGACACTATAAGTATAGATAGACCAGCTATTTGAGACACTATCAGTATAGATAGACCAGATATTGGGACACTATCAGTATAGATAGACCAGATATTGGGACACTATCAGTATAGATAGACCAGATATTTGGGATACTATCAGTATAGATAGACCAGATATTGGGACACTGTCAATAGATGTACCAGATATTACGACACTCTCAATAAATAGACCAGATATTGGGACACTATCAATAGATGTACCAGATATTACGACACTCTCAATAGATATACCAGATATTGGGACACTATCAATAGATATACCAGATATTGGGACACTATCAGTATAGATAGACCAAATATTGGGACACTATCAGTATAGATAGATCAGATATTGGGACACTATCAGTATAGATAGACCAGATATTGGGACACTATCAGTATATATAGACCAGATATTGGGACACTATCAGTATAGATAGACCAGATATTGGGACACTATAAGTATAGATAGACCAGCTATTTGAGACACTATCAGTATAGATAGACCAGATATTGGGACACTATCAGTATAGATAGACCAGATATTGGGACACTATCAGTATAGATAGACCAGATATTTGGGATACTATCAGTATAGATAGACCAGATATTGGGACACTATCAATAGATGTACCAGATATTACGACACTCTCAATAAATAGACCAGATATTGGGACACTATCAATAGATGTACCAGATATTACGACACTCTCAATAAATAGACCAGATATTGGAACACTATTAGCAGATAGATCAGATATGTTCACAGTGGACAAAGAAAATCGCTTGAACATATCGCACAATGCCATTGATTTGTTTGTTAAGTCGTCATCAATGCCGCTAGTCGTCATCAATGCCTAATCGCCCTCAATGCCTTCAGTCGCTAGCAATACCGTCCCGTCAGCGTAACAGCGGAGACAAAATGGTGGAGGCGAAATGGTGGAGGCGAAATGGTAGCGGCGAATCGTCCTAGATCCGATTGTACTACTTAGATTGGTGCTGCTCGGGGTGGGCCAAGATTGTGACGCCATACCCCACGTAGACAGAAAATGGGCTCAAGCTCCATATTAAGAAAAGAAGCACCCCCTCCCCACTCCACCCCTCCCCTTTTTTTTCACCCACTGCCTAGTTCTCACATCAATAACTAATTTAATGCTGAGATTAAAATACCTAGGTTTCTATGAGACAGTTACCACGTCAGAAGACATTAGCTTGCGACCACCCCCCACCCCCACGTCATTCACACATACACACACACACATTCGAGATCTCCTTATTGTAACTCTGAGTATGGACATTCGAATTCAATTAAATTGTGTGTCTCCGGCAAAGTCTAACACCACACTCCCAGAATTCCCTTGCAACCACGCAGCCCACGTGTCCACTTTCTCACATCACTAATCTTCAAACAACAATGAATATTGGACAAAGGGAGAGAATATCGACACGTATTGATCGTCGTGCCCTTTTAAACTGATAACAGCCGACTTAGCAATGAAAGAAATGGCAATTCCTTGTTTTTTCTGATCAAAGTTGTCGAGAAGCTTTCAATAATGTTTTTTTTTTTATTATTTTTTTTTTTTGGGGGGGGGGGGGGTTTTTTTTTAAAATTTTATGCTGATTAAATTTTAGTCCAATCATGCAACAGCTGTATAGAGATTTAATCCCTAATGAAATTTTCATCAATCAGTAAACCAGAGGTCACGTGTCCCTGTAAAAAAAAAAATCAATGTTGTTTTTCGGCCCTTATCAAAACTTGCGGTGAATATCATGTACCCAGCTTATATTCAGTCTAAACATGCCGTACGGCGCCAGTAGAAGCACGGCTTTCAAGTTCCCACGGCGGGGTGGGCGTGTTGAGAAAACAAATTAAATATCCATGAGGTTGCTATGTAGATGATAAGTTGGCGGTGAACTAGAGACCGCCCGAATGCGATTTTTTTGGGTTTCGCCAAAACCGAAACCAAACCGAACGTTAACAAATTATTTTCAGCCGAAACTACAAAAAACTAATGAGACTTTCTGCGATTTAGGTTTTCAAAAAAAAAAAAAAACGAAAATCAACCAAAATTTATCTTTTCTGCTTCGGACGAAACTGAAACTTCGCCGGAAATGATATTTTTTTGGGTTTCGCCAAAACCGAAACCAAACCGAACGTTAAAAAATTATTTTCAGCCGAAACTACAAAAAACTAATGAGACTTTCTGCGATTTAGGTTTTAAAAAAAAAAAAAAAACGAAAATCAACCAAAATTTATCTTTTCTGCTTCGGACGAAACTGAAACTTCGCCGGAAATGATCATATAGCAACATTCGGCGGCAAACCCAAGATCCGGCCGGCTGCTACAGAGATCAGTGGGGTTTGATAGGGCGGAGGGGGGACGTCCAGTGTGAGGAGGCTGGTGCTACCGAAATGTAGGTCAATGTCAATATTACTCTTTTTAAGGTAAAATTTGAAGAGCTTACATTGAACAAACTATTATTCATATGAAGTTATATGCCTTAAACATCATAATATTTTTTCTAGACATTAGAGGAAGATAACGTTAAAAAGAATTTCCTTAAAACAGAATTGGTATTATAAAAAAAAAATGTTCATTTCAACATCTTTAAGTCTAGGATCAATTATGAACTAAACAAATTGCTAGAATAATTTTTGCCTGATTGATTTTAATTTAAAAAATCAGATTACAATAGCCAGGTGGACACTTATTCACTTATTTCTTGTTATCATGGTCACCATGATATCCCGATGAGAACAGTCAATGTACAGCACATACAATGACGGAGCACAACTGTTAAGATTCTCTTTAGAGCTTGGAATTAAACCCCAAGAGGTATCATTAAAAATAGGGTGATTTGTCTTATGGGTATTTTTTTTTTTAAATGTGTGAAAGTATGTTTTGGGGTGGGGTGCGAGAGGGGGTTGGGGGATTTTAAGATGGGGTGGGGAGTGGAAATCTTTGGATATACAAATCTCATAGCGCATTAGTTCTTAGATGAACTACTAACGACGTCTGGTCGCTGAGGACACAAAACGGAAGCTGCTGCTGTGTTGCCGTTCGATTGGTTGTGTCCTTCTGTGACGTCATGGCCCTAATGTGTTCTTATAACCAACCGAAGCTGGACTTCAATTTAAGTCTTGGGGGAAATTAAATAGGAAATAACTGGTATAGTGGGAACTTACTGGCACAGATCTGAAATTATCGGTACATATTTGAAATTACTGGCATAGGTGGGAAATTAATGGCATAGATTTGAAATTACTGGTATAGGTGAGAATTATGGCAGAGATTTGAAATTACTGGTATAGGTGGGAAATTTATGGCACAGATGTCAAATTACTGGCACAGATTTGAAATTACTGGCACAGATTTGAAATTACTGGCATAGAAGGGAAATTTATGGCACAGATGTGAAATTACTGTCACAGATTTGAAATTACTGACAAAGATAGGAAATTACTGGTATAGACTACATTTAAATGTATGTAAAACAGAGTAGCTTGCCCGTGGTTGCCGCCAATTATTACCACGTTGCGTTGGTTCTAAAATCATGTTTGTTGTTTCTAAACTCGACTCCAGTAAGCTGAGTAGGGTTAATTAAAACAGACCCAATGATAGAGTTTTTCAAATAGAATTTATACTTTTACTCTGAATAATTTCTTTCCTCTCAATTCACGGTGACGTCATTTTTACTCAGCCAACCCATGAAAACCACAAACAATATGAAAGCGGAAATGATATGCACCCACCCATTATGCTCCTTTCACACCGAAGATAATTTCATTTTCCTTCGTGATCTTACCCTAAAGCAGTGGTTCTCAACCTTTCTAGTGCAGCGACCCCTTAATACAGTTTCTCGTGTCATGGCGACCCCCCAGCCACACAATTATTTTCGTTTCTACTTCATAGCTGTAAGGATATATGTTTTCAGATGGTCTTACGCGACCCCTGGAAAAGGGTCCCGCGACCCCCAAAGGGGTCACGACCCACAGGTTGAGAACCGCTGCCCTAAATAATGGAAATTAGTGGTATAGATCGCAAATTACTGGCATAAATAGAAAATTGAAATGTTAATTAAAAATTATAGTTTGTGTACATTATTTGATGACGTCATCCCTTTAATGTAAGAGTTTTCAAATACGTTTGAGCGATCATTAAAAAATCGTTAAGGAATTAACAATCACATTCACAATCACTTTTACAATGACATAAACAATCATATTCACCATCACATTCACAATCACATTCACAATGACATAAAAAATCACATCAACAAGCACATTCACAATCAGGTAAGCGTTTAGATAAAGATCAATAAATATAATTATGAGAAAGCAATGGTTGATCCCTTTCCTCAGTTGTCACCGGGTCACCACTATCTCTATCAAAAGTGTTCAATCAAAACAATGAAAGAGCTTTCATTGAATAGGACGCACTCAAAGTGTGTATCATTCGATGAATACCGATCGAACACTCATTCAATAAAAGTCATGCAGTTGCCATAAAAGTCACGATATAAGAATTTTAAAGTCAGTCATAATTAGCTTTTATAACGGTCAATGGGTCATGCCAATAATAAAAAAAATGTACAAGTATGCCCCGAGCCACATTGGGGTCAGGTGCCCCACATTGGGGTCAGTTGCCCCACATTGGGGTCAGGTGCCCCACAATTTTGTCAGTCGGAACATTTGACTCAGGTCTCATATTAGTGGAGGCCTTAATTTTGATACTGTCTGATAACTGTTCAAATTAACATCTTAATACCAAAGGGATCTTATTCGAGGCAGTTTGGAATGAAAATTGATATTTTTTTTATCGTGATATCAGAGCATTTGAGTTGTAACTGATTTTATGGCCATTCATAATGTATCATGGGCCTAAATCTGATGAGCTATAAAAGGCATATCATCTAAGAAATAGTCCATAGATGAGAAATGTCCTGAAGTTGGTGAGAAATGTCCTGAAGTTGGTGCGCATTGATTTACTTACACTAATCCCCTTTGCAAAGATTTCTTTCTATTTGTATTTTCAAAGACACACGAGCTTCGAGCTTCATGACGTCAATGACCATCTTTTGGGTCTGAACCTATTGTCTTCATTACATCTTGTCCTACGGTACTCAACCATTGGAATGTTTTAGACTTTGGTGTAACAATCGTATGGATACGTTTGCTTAATATATAGCTGAAACCCTGTATATAACCAAGAATCCCTTCATCCAACTATATAACTAAGAGCCCACTCATACACTTATATATATATATATATATATATATATATATATATATATATATATATATATATATATATATATATATATATATGAACATACATATATATATATATATATATATATATATATATATATATATATATATATATATATATATATATACATATATATAAGAGCCCATACATCCATCTATATATATAAGAACACATTCATTCATTTATATAACTAAGATATCATTCATCCACCTTTATATTTATAAGCCCATTTATCCATCTACATAACTAAGAATCCATTCATCCCACTATATAACTAAGAGCCCGTTCATCCACTTATATAACTAAGAGCCCATTCATCCATATATATAACTAGGAGCCAATTCATCCATATTTATAACTGAGATCCCATTCATTCATCTATATAACAAAGGATCCATTCATCCACCTTTATATTTATACGCCCATTTATCCATCTATATAACTAAAAACACATTAATCCACCTATATATATATATATATATATATATATATATATATATATTTAAAAAAACCCATTTATCTATTTATATTTCTATATAACAAAGGATCCATTCACCCACCTTTATATTTATACGCCCATATATCTATCTATATATATAAAAACACATTTATCCACCTATATATATATATATATATATATATATATATATATATATTTATAAGAGCCCATTCATCTATTTATATATCTATAAGAGCCCATTCATCCATCTGTATAACTTAAAACACCATTCATCCATCTGTATAATTTAGAGCCCATTGATCATTACATTTAACTAAGAGCCCTTATAATCCATCCACATCAATAAGAGCCCTTGGACTTATACGTATAGCTACACAAACCATCAGATAAATATTTTAGGTAAATAAAGTCAAAGCCAATACATATCTTAAAATAAAGGCTCGTGCATTACAAGCGCATTTATAATCTATACATTTAACCTTAGATTTCCACCCCTAATCGCGATAAGAGCATGTGTGTCAATAACTTTAACCTTATATTTCCATGCTCATTCACAATAAGAGCCTGTGTGTCAATATTGTCAGGATGAAGACAGGCGTACATCAATAACAATTGATCAGCTCCACAAGAAAACAATTGAACGGTAAACATTCTAAAAATGTGATCGATAGCGCCCAATAACTAATGACATGCTGTCAACAGCAGTTCTGGTCAATGGACATCGACGCGACCCCAGAGACTGAATGTGATACGAAAAAGAATGAAATCTAAGAGCGGTGAATATGGGTTCAACTTACCTATCAATTAACCGTGTAAAGCCCAATAGTTCCCAACTTGACCTGTCCTCTATTTGCCGTCTGGAAATGTCTGTGTCTGCGTGCCCACCCGCCATCCGTGGGAGCAGACGTTTCTCCCGTCATGTCGCGTGCTCAGTGCGTGTCGGTGGGTGCACTTCACTTGATCTTGGCACATATCTGATTCCATCTGAAAGCCTTTTGGTTATTCAACGGGTTATAGGAGATATGTTTCCGGTAGCAATAAGGAATCCATTTAGGTAGATATAGCTGACATTCTTGCTGTTGAAGTAAAGCAATCCATTTGATGATATATCCGACAGTCTTACTGTAGAAGTAAGGAAATTCATTTGGTAGATATAGCTGACAGTCTTACTGTAGAAGTAAGGAAATTCATTTGGTTAGATATAGCTGACAGTCTTACTGTAAAAGTAAGGAAATTCATTTGGTAGATATAGCTGACAGTCTTACTGTAGAAGTAAGGAAATTCATTTGGTAGATATGGCTGACAGTCTTACTGTAGAAGTAAGGAAATCCATTTGCTAGATATAGCTGACAGTCTTACTGTAGAAGTAAGGAAATTCATTTGGTAGATATAGCTGACAGTCTTACTGTAGAAGTAAGAAAATCTATTTGCTAGATATAGCTGACAGTCTTACTGTAGAAGTAAGGAAATTCATTTGGTAGATATGGCTGACAGTCTTACTGTAGAAGTAAGGAAATCCATTTGCTAGATATAGCTGACAGTCTTACTGTAGAAGTAAGGAAATTCATTTGGTAGATATAGCTGACAGTCTTACTGTAGAAGTAAGAAAATCTATTTGCTAGATATAGCTGACAGTCTTACTGTAGAAGTAAGGAAATTCATTTGGTAGATATAGCTGACAGTCTTACTGTAGAAGTAAGGAAATCCATTTGCTAGATATAGCTGACAGTCTTACTGTAGAAGTAAGGAAATTCATTTGCATGGTAGATATAGCTGACAGTCTTACTGTAGAAATAAGAAAATCCATTTGCTAGATATAGCTGACAGTCTTACTGTAGAAGTAAGAAAATTCATTTGCTAGATATAGCTCACAGTCTTACAGTAGAAGTAAGAAAATTCATTTGCTAGATATAGCTGACAGTCTTACTGTAGAAGTAAGGAAATTCATTTGCTAGATATAGCTGACAGTCTTACTGTAGAAGTAAGGAAATTCATTTGCTAGATATAGCTGACAGTCTTACTGTAGAAGTAAGGAAATTCATTTGCTAGATATAGCTGACAGTCTTACTGTAGAAGTAAGAAAATTCATTTGCTAGATATAGCTGACAGTCTTACTGTAGAAGGAAAGGCACATATTTGATGCTAACAGACACACTCGCCGTGGAAGCAAAGGCGCTGTAAGAATGCATACCCAATAGTAAAAAAAGCAACATATACGCACTATTTAAATTTTATGGTTAACGCATGTCTCTAGTGGAGTCCACTCAAACAATGTTCATTGAGATACAAAGTCAGGTTATCAACTGCTCTAGATAGAGAGTAGTAGGGACATTCGGCAGACCCTGACCTTGCTGACGCATACAAAATATAAACTTGACAATCGGAAAGAAACTTTTTTTTTTCCCTCGCAAAACCTCCATGTTTTTTTAATTTTTTTATTGTTCTTAAAATAAAACTCAAATTTAATAAAGACTTCTGACTTTTTCCCCCTCTGACCTTATTCCCATATCGTAATCACCAATACCACTCTCGAACAACGTGGAAAAATCAACAACTAATATTCGATCTGGCATCCCAAAAATTTAAAAGAAAAAAAAAAAGAAAAAAAAAGAAAAAGAACTTCATCGATTTGTCGATGTCATTGATCGATGTTAGGAGCTCAGTGGCATTAATGGGTTCTTTTAGCCCCTGTCTAAAAGTTCAACCAACCGTATCTGGCCACAACATGGTATGTAGAAAGCCAGGTCTCGTACCAGTATTGGATTCATGAGTCGCATCGCCTACTTCAGTGGCACAAGTCTGATCGTTGTATGCCTACTGATGATGCACAAAGTCTGATCGTTGTATGCCTACTGATGATGCACAAAGTCTGATAATGTTGTCCAACATGCTGCAAATTATGTCTCTGGTATTGTGATACAGACGGTCTGATATTTCTCAAATGTAAAAAAATAAATCTCATACCATTTTTAAGCTTAGAGGTAGCCGGACGTAGCCATGTGTTGCTATACCAATAGCCAGATGTAGCCAGGCGTAGTCAAATGTAGCCTAAACATAGATGGTAGGTAATAAGTTATTGCCTTGACAACTCATGGCGATTGCAGTGTTTGGGGTCAGACACGGGACAAATTAATGTATTTGACCACATTAAGTTGCATTGTTTGGAGTCAGACACGGGGACAAATTAATGTACTTGACCAAATTAAGTTGCAGTGTTTGGGGTCAGACACGGGACAAATTAATGTATTTGACCAAATTAAGTTGCAGTGTTTGGGGTTAGACACGGGACAAATTAATGTATTTGACCACATTAAGTTGAAGTGTTTGGGGTCAGCCTCGAGGAAAAATTAATGTATTTGACCACATTAAGTTGCATTGTTTGGAGTCAGACACGGGGACAAATTAATGTACTTGACCAAATTAAGTTGCAGTGTTTGGGGTCAGACACGGGACAAATTAATGGATTCGACCACATTAAGTTGGAGTATTTGCAGTGACTGAGTTAGGATTCCAGTATTACAAGGTGTCTCAATTCGGGATAAATCAAAGATGATGAAGGATAAGGACACAATCATTGCTGGGCATCCTGTCACTTTTACTGCTGCCACTTGTTGCAAGATTGTGCAACTATTTGGTGGCAAGATTGTGCAACTATTTGGTGGCAAGATTGTGCAACTATTTGGTGGCAAGATTGTGCAACTATTTGGTGGCAAGATTGTGCAACTATTTGGTGGCAAGATTGTGCAACTATTTGGTGGCAAGATTGTGCAACTATTTGGTGGCAAGATTGTGCAACTATTTGGTGGCAAGATTGTGCAACTATTTGGTGGCAAGATTGTGCAACCATTTGGTGGCAAGATTGTGCAACTATTTGTAAATCTACTAAAATGTGCACCAAATCGCTTTTATTCTTCGCACCAGTCGAGTTTTACACAACTGCATATTATGTTTGAATGAACTACGTTCTGGGCTTTGTCGGAAAAAAAGATCTTATGCCACCTTTGTGAATTTTGCGATCCATAGCCATTAGTTTGCACCTATGTGAGGGCGATGAACAAAAGCTTCTTGACTTGCTTTAGGCTAAGACCTTCCTTTCATTCTTTAATGTCCTCATTTACTTCTCCGCGTCATTTGTGTCTTGTCCAGGTCTTATGGATCGCAGTGACCCGATGAAAATCCTGGAAATTTCAGAAGTGACCATAATTTATTGTTCTAGGGGATGGAGACTAAGAGTATGTTAAGTAACAATGACAAAGAAGTCGACTAGCCGTCATGTGATCAATCAGCTGACGGGAGATGAAGACTTTAGAATTTAGGGCAGGTGTCTCAAACTCCAATCATCCGGGGGCCGCAGGTGACAGAGTCTGAGTGAGACTGGGCCACATCAAGTACTCTACAAAAAAAAAAAAAAAAAAAAAAAAAAAAAAAAAAAAAAAAAAAAAAAAAAAAAAAAAAAAAAAAAAAAAAAGCGATTAAAAATTCAAAAAAAGTAAAACTGTTACAATCTGCTCAACCTTTAGTAATGACAAATACAAACATTAAGGGTTCTCAAGAACTAGGCTTCACTTTCTTCCTCCTACTCCTTGTTGAGAGACCTGACAGTGCAAGCGACCTAAGCTGACAGGTTCGAAATTTCCCTCACTCGTAAACATTAGCGGCAATATTTTAATAGGGATTCATTGACACTGTATCAGATTGCTACGATTTACACAATTATGGTTGTGCATTACCCATTAACTGAATTTTAAAATTTTGAAATATGTATGTATAATATTCGAAGCGCGTTTTCTCAAAGCCGCACTTTGGCTAAGTTTTTCACAATAAATGCTACAAATTAAAAATTTTAGTCCGATTTTAAAACGGTTTTTGACCATTATAACCAACTTCCAAATCTATACAAACATAATAAAAATCAGAATTAGATTAGTTTGTGAGGTTCGACTGAAACTGTCGCGGAGGGTCACATTATAGATATGAGAATGGGGGAAACGCGTGGGCCTCATTAACACTAAACTTTGCTGTCATGTCGCGGGCCGCCAAAATATCGTCTAGCGGGCTGCAGGTGGCCCGCTGGCCGCGAGTTTGAGACCCTTGATCCTAAATCAGCTGACGGGGGATGAAGACGTTTGTCAAGAATTTTCTATTCGCACTATTCGCACTATCTCAGTGATATCACAAATATCACCTTCTATTTCTACACAGAATATTGATGGCGATCCAGAGTAATTGGTCTTTCTTCTTCCTCATGCCTCATTGCACAGAAGGACGGGGCATGGACGTTTCTGCTTGATCCGAACTTTATGTTACGCTTTGGCTTCTAACATGGGAAATTAATCTCCTATTTTAATTTTAATTGTCTCGTTGTAAACAGTGCCTAACAAAGGACGATACCATATAATCAAAAATATTAAAGATGCGACACTCAAGACAGTTGCAAGTTACAATTAATAAGATTTATTAAGTATTAATACAATAGCAAAACAAAAGAAAAATAATTATAAATCATCAACTTACAGTATGGTAGATCTTGTACCGGTACCCAGTTAATAAAATGTACAAATTAATAATGATGAATGCGAAATAAACACATATGAGCATACAAATACACAAATAATTATACACGCCTCGTAAAGTTAATATCTATCTGAATCTCCGATCTCTCCGTATCTGTCAATCACTTATATAGGTGGGTCTACTGACGCGTAAGCCCTGCCTTCCAAAAGCTACTCAGCATTTTTTTTACATTTCCAGAACAATCGCAAACATTCTACAAAATGCTAGGAGACAGTCTAACAAGGTTTAATTGGAAAGGCGGTAGTCAACAAGATACATTAAACGAATAGGCAACGCTCACAGCAA